TTTATTGTTGGTTATTAACTTTGATCACTTGATTTAGTGATATTGCTATTTAAATATCACTAAGAAGCACTAGTGATAGTTCTATTTTTATCTGTAATTAATATATATCTTGTGGAAATATACTCTGAGATATATAATTTCACCATTTTAGGACTCACTCATGCCTGAATTAGCTGTCAATGGTGGCTGACAAATGACTTTTTTTTAAAACGAATTTATCGTTCTTCTTACATTTATTACTTGGCTTTCTACTGTGAGGAGAGGGTCCTTTCTCTTTGTTTCTGTATTCATCTCAGCATGGAATTATGGGCTCTTATTTTATTCAACAGAACACTTTACTACCAATATTTCTTTTGATGATCAAATTACCCCAATTTAGTCAGTGGAAGCCCCTTACAGCTGGCGCCTGTCTTCTGACAGTCAGAATATTCTGTGTGCACTGCCTTACTTTTTGGCACAAGGTGTCCCAGGCTCATCTTACAATTGCCCTGCCTCAGCTGTGGAATCAGCCACCCTTCAAGAAACTGGCTTCTTTGAGCGGAAGCTGATATTCAGACACAAAGATCTGAGGAGTAAGGTAGGTGTGCTCCTTGCTACTGAGATGGAAAGGCTTCAGTCCCTCTCAGAGACAGATGCATGGATATCGAGATATCCATCATATGAATATGCCAGCCTAGATCTATATCTAGCTTTATTATGGGAATCACAACTTCACAGATGCCTCCAATTCCAACCCACTGTCATGGGGTCCTCGGGTTTCTTCTATCTCTTCCCTTTGTCATTGTATAGTTCTCTCTGGTAGTGAGAAAATTACGTTTCACCATACATTCTTTTAGTTTAGCTCTAGAGCTCACATCAGACATTTATTAAAATGTCAACCTATAGCTCGATGAAAAAGAAACCGACTAACTACACCTCACCATTTATTTACAGTTCATTTTGTCGTTAGTGCGAGGGCATATGGTTCAAATACTGTGTTTTAAAGTTACTTGGACAGTACTGGAGAACAGATTAATGGTTGCCAGGTGCTTAGGGGTGGTGATGGCTTTGGCACAACTCCAAATGAGATGAAACAGCTGCAAACATCCATTAATGACTGGAATGTGGAATGTATAAAGCATGAAGCTAAGAAAATTGTAAGTTTGTAAAAAATGAAAGTGAAAACATAAAGCCCAATATCCTAAGGGTTAGTGAAGTAATCGGACTGGTAGTGACTATTTTTAATTGGACAGTCATCTGGTCTACTGCTAAGAATGAGAAATTGAAGGTGAATGGTGACACATTCATTGTTAAAAAGAACATTTCAAGATCTGTCCTGGAGTACAGCACAATCGGTGATACACCCACAAAGGACACTACTTCCGATGACTTATTCAAATTCATACACCAACCATTAACGTTAAAGAAACTGGAGACTTTTAGCAACTTCTGCAGCCTGAAGTGAGCACACATGCAACAGAGCAGTGTTGTTGTTGTTCGGTCCTGACCCATAGCGACCGTGTGCACAACACAACCAGACACTGCACCATCCGCACCACTGTCCCGACACCTGAGCCCAGTGCGGCAGCCACTGTCAACGCATCTCCTGGACAGTTGCACTGATTGGGTTTCCTGGCA